AGGTTGTGACTTCCGGCCTTTGCCATCTGGGAAACCATTGCAAGTGTTGCGCCAAGCCATGCAAATCTACGAAGTCATGCACTGACGTCAATGGTGTTTGTGTTCAGGACAGGCAGGGCTGTGCTAATGGACAGATTTATGAGGGACTCTGTCAAGGCCATGGATGCGTGTGTTGCTGTCGGATAAGTAAGTTGATTAAATTTCCAAATAATTCTTAATATCTTGACGAATCATTAGCGCATAACTATATAGAATTTGACATATATTAATTTTCAAACTCTATTTCATGTTGTAATAAGTCTGGAAAGTAGACGGGAAAAGTTTCAGAGATATAATTATTTAATACATTTATAAGATATTTGTAAGTCTACATGTGTGTCAAAAAAACTTTTATCAGTAAATTATGTAACACCATGTTATGCATTTATTAATACAAGTTACAGGACACAATTCTATACATGAATTCTTCACAGCTCAATGTGCAAATACCAAATTGTGCTCATTGTACGATGAAGGTCAATGTAAAACCAGCTGCGCACCATATGAACGTGTTATTTCCGGAATTTGTAATTTGGGGAGTAAATGCAAGTGTTGCGCCCCGCCATGCAAGCCACTGAAGTCATGCACTGACGTCAAGGGCTTTTGTGTTCAAGACAGGAAGGACTGTGTTAATGGCTTGATAAACGTGGGAGACTGTCAAGGTTATGGTTGCCTGTGTTGCAGCCTGAAACGTAAGTTGATCAAATTCGAATAAATCTCAATATCATGAAAAATTTGTAACTACAAAGCATAAATATATAATCACATAAATAAAATGTAATAAAATTTCTAAAATTTTAGATTTTGGATAATTTTTCTAAATGTGCCCTCATTTTGATCGACACCATGCCTAACCCTTCTAGGGTAGGGTAGGTGCCTGAGCCCGAGCCTTTAGCTCATAAGACTGTCATTCCCATTTGCCCCCTTGGGGCGGGGATGGTAGACCAGAGAGGCCTAGCTTGTGGCTAGGCCTGGGGACAATTGGTCCCAAAGATGAGGAGGTACTTGTGCCTCCTCCCATGGGAGACTTAGGTCTCAGACACTCCCTAAAGAGGGAGCCAAGGCCGGGCCACCACTTGGAAAAGGCCCGGGCCGGGAGAATACCGGCTAATCTTTAACTAACCCTCATTTTTTGAGACTGTTGTCCTATATCTGGAAACTAATTTTGTGTATTTTTTTTTAAATATTTATAATACAATTATAGCGCGCGCGTTTATACTCACCTAATTGCACTCACCTAATTGTGGTTGCAGGGGTCGAGACTCAGCTCCTGGCCCCGCCTCTTCACTGATCGCTACTGGGTCCTCTCTCTCTCTGCTTCCTGAGCTTTGTCATACCTCTTCTTAAAACTATGTATGGTTCCTGCCCCCACTACTTCACTTGCTAGGCTATTCCACTTGCTGACAACTCTATGACTGAAGAAATACTTCCTAACGTCCCTGTGACTCGTCTGAGTCTTCAGCTTCCAGTTGTGACCCCTTGTCCCTGTGTCCCCTCTCTGGAACATCCTATCTCTGTCCACCTTGTCTATTCCCAGCAGTATCTTGTATGTCGTTATCATGTCTCCCCTGACCCTTCTGTCCTCCAGTGTCGTCAGTCCGATTTCCCTTAACCTTTCCTCGTACGACATTCCCTTGAGCTCTGGGATTAGCCTTGTTGCAAACCTTTGTACTTTCTCTAACTTCTTGACGTGCTTGACCAGGTGTGGGTTCCAGACTGGTGCTGCATACTCCAGTATGGGCCTAACATACACAGTGTACAGTGTCTTGAACGATTCCTTATTAAGGTATCGGAACGCTATTCTCAGGTTCTCTATGTGTGTGTTTGTGTGTGTGTGTGTGTGTGTGTGTGTGTGTGTGTGTGTGTGTGTGTGTGTGTGTGTGTGTGTGTGTGTGTGTGTGTGTGTGTGCGTGTGTGTGCGTGTGTGCGTGTGAGTGTGTGTGTGTGTGTGCGTGTGCGTGTGTGTATGTGTGTGTGTGTGTACTCACCTATTTGTACTCACCTATTTGTGGTTGCAGGGGTCGAGTCCTAGCTCCTGGCCCCGCCTCTTCACCGGTTGCTACTAGGCCCTCTCTCTCCCCGCTCCATGAGCTTTATCAAACCTCGTCTTAAAACTGTGTATGGTTCCTGCCTCCACTACGTCATTTTCTAGGCTATTCCACTGCCTTACAACTCTATAACTGAAGAAATGTGTGTGTGTGTGTGTGTGTGTGTGTGTGTGTGTGTGTGTGTGCGTGTGTGTGCGTGTGTGTGCGTTGTGTGTGTGTGTGTGTGTGTGTGTGTGTGTGTGTGTGTGTGTGTGTGTGTGTGTGTGTGTGTGTGTGTGTGTGTACTCACCTATTTGTGGTTGCAGGGGTCGAGTCACAGCTCCTGGCCCCGCCTCTTCGCTGATTGCTACTAGGTCCTCTCTCTCCCTGCCCCATGAGCTCTATCATACCTCGCCTTAAAACTATGTATGGTTCCTGCCTCCACCACATCACTTTCTAGGCTATTCCATGGCCTGACTACTGTATGACTGAAGAAATACTTCCTAACATCCCTTTGATTCATCTGAGTCCTCAACTTCCAATTGTGACCTCTTGTGTCTGTGTCCCATCTCTGGAACATCCCGTCTTTGTCCACCTCGTCTATTCCGCGCAGTATTTTATATGTCGTTATCATGTCTCCCCTGACCCTCCTGGCCTCCAGTGTCGTCAGGCCGATTTCCCTCAACCTTTCTTCATAGGACAATCCCCGTAGCTCTGGGATTAGTCTTGTTGCAAACCTTTGCACTTTCTCTAATTTCTTGACGTGCTTGACTAGGTGTGGATTCCAAACTGGTGCTGCATACTCCAGTATGGGCCTGACGTAGATGGTGTACAGAGTCTTAAACGAATCCTTACTGAGGTATCGGAACGCTATCCGTAGGTTTGCCAGGCGCCCGTATGCTGCAGCAGTTATCTGATTGATGTGCGCCTCAGGAGATATGCTCGGTGTTATACTCACCCCCAGATCTTTTTCCTTGAGTGAGGTTTGCAGTCTTTGGCCATCTAAACTATATTGTGTCTGCGGTCTTCTTTGCCCTTCCCCAATCTTCATGACTTTGCATTTGGCAGGGTTAAATTCAAGGAGCCAGTTGCTGGACCAGGCTTGTAGCCTGTCCAGATCTCTTTGTAGTCCTGCCTGATCCTCGTCCGATTCGATTCTTCTCATTAACTTCACATCGTCTGCAAACAAGGACACTTCTGAGTCTATCCCTTCCGTTATGTCGTTCACGTATACCAAGAACAGCACAGGTCCTAGGACTGACCCCTGTGGAACCCCGCTTGTCACAGGCGCCCACTCTGACACCTCGTCGCGTACCATGACTCGTTGTTGCCTCCCTGTCAGATATTCTCTGATCCAGTGCAGTGCCTTTCCTGTTATGTGTGCCTGGTCCTCTAGCTTTTGCAGTAACCTCTTGTGAGGAACTGTGTCGAAAGCGTGTGTGTGTGTGTGTGTGCGTATGCGTGTGTGCGTGTGCGCCTTCGTTTGTTCTCAAGGAGTTGTGGTCAGAAAGATGTAAAGTATAAGGACACAAGTGCAACTGTGACATTTTATTGTGGCAAGGTTTCGGTCTCTAGGAGCTTTATCAAGCCGTTACAAACAGTACATGGACACTGAGGGTATATAAAGGTTCAGAGTGAGGTGTAATACTTGTGGTAGTAGCAGTAGTAGTAACATAATTTGTAATAGTAGTTGTAGTAACATAAGTTGTAATAGTAGTAGTAATACAATATAGTAGAACATGTGCAAGTTGATTGTTCTAATAAATAACAAAAAGGGCACAATACCGTGACTGGACCGAAACGTCATCGTAAGCTCCTCTCTCCTATGTGCGGGTTATTTGTGATTGTTCTACTATAGTGTATTACTACTACTATTGCAACTTATATTACTACTACTACCACCACCACCACTAGTATTACACCTCACTTTGAGGCTATGTAGTGTCCATGTAATGTTTGTAACGGCTTAACAAAGCTCCTGGTGAGCGAATCGTTGTCACTATAAAATGTCACATTAGTTGCACTTGTGTCCTTTTACTTTACACATTGTCGGTAATTCCACCAACATTAACAGGGTCAGAAAGATGTTTGATAGGGCGGCGGAGACTTATGTCTTGAGTTCTGGCGTCTTGGATCTTATCATATCTTATCATAAAACTTATCATTAAATACAAATTTTGCATCAACAATGCAAAGTTTAATAAGTTTAATGATAGTAGCATTGTTGATGCAAAATTTGTATTTAATGATAAGTTTTACACTCAGAAGTTTGGTATGGCAATGGGAAATCCTCTTTCACCTGTTCTTAGTAACCTATACATGGAATTTTTTGAAACAAGGTTGCTTAACACAATCCTCCCTAATAGAGCTAAATGGTTCAGATATGTTGATGATATTTTGTGTCTTATGCCCAAATATGTAGATATACACCATTTCCTTGGCAAATTAAATAGCTTAGCCCATTCTATAAACTTTACTGTTGAGTTTGAAGAAAATAACTCATTGCCTTTTCTAGATGTTTTAATTATTAAGGGTAATAATGAATTCAAATTTAAAATTTACAGAAAACCTACAAATAACTGTTCTTACGTCCACTATTATTCCTCGCATCAAGATAGAGTTAAACTGTCTGTTTTCTCATCAATGTTTTTGAGAGCTTTACGAATTGTAGTCCAGAGTTCATAGATGAGGAAATATCCAAAATTTATGAAATAGGTAATGATTTGAAATACCCAAGAAATATAATTGATAAATCTTTTAAAGTTGCTAGAAATACTCTTTACAATCCAAAAAGGGACAACCAGCCTTATTCAACTAAAAATATGTTGGTTCTCCCTTACCATGAAAACTTGGTTGATATGCCTTCTCTTCTCAAGACTTTTAATATTAAAGTTGTATTCAAATATCTTGACACAGTAAAAGAACTTTTGATAAAGAATTCCCTCCAAAATGCTGATGGATGTGTCTATAAGATTCCTTGTAAAATTTGCGATAAAGTTTATTAGGGTCAAACTGGTAAAAATCTCGAACTAAGATTAAAACAACATAAATATAGCATTAGAACTGGACAAGATTCCAATGCTCTATTTATTTATGTAAGAGATTTTAACCATCCAATTGATTTTCAGAAAGTTGAGAAAGTAGTATCAAGCAAGTCCATGGTCGACAGGAATATAATTGAATCTTTTTTCATAAAAAGCAGTTTTGACAATAATATGAATATTTCCTTTGGTTTATATAAATTAGATCCATTTATAATTAATAGAATTTGGGAAGAATTTAATAATACACTGGTCAAATAATAATTTTTAAAATTTCTTATTTCTTGGGTAGAATAGTTTGTTGGTGGGTTGTGTGAAGGACCTGTCTAGTTGGGCCGGCGGGCCTGCTGCAGTGTTCCCTTTCTTATGAGTCGCGTGTCAGGCGTTTCATTGTTGTGGGATCTGATAGTGAGGTGTTGGCTAGACCCCCTTATATACCTTCCTTTGATGCTTTACTTTCATAGTTCCTTGATAATGTGAGTAGCCACGAAAGCGCTTGGAATTTCTTTATTCTTTCACAGTGGTTGTTTTGCATATTCTGAAATCACCTGTTTACTGTGATCTTATTGCATATATATATATATATATATATATATATATATATATATATATATATATATATATATATATATATATATATATATATATATATATATATTAATATATATATATATATATATATATATATATATATATATATATATATATATATATATATGCAAAACAACCACTCTGAAATAATAGAGAAATTCCAAGCGCTTTCGTGACTACTCACGAAAGCGCTTGGAATTTCTCTATTATTTCAGAGTGGTTGTTTTGCATATTCTGAAATCACCTGTTTACTGTGATCTTATTGCATATATATATATATATATATATATATATATATATATATATATATATATATATATATATATATATATATATATATATATATATATATATATATATATTACATATATGTATATATATATATATATATATACATATATGCAAAACAACCATTGTGAAAGAATAGTGAAATTCCAAGTGCTTTCGTGAGAAAGTCACGAAAGCACTTGGAATTTCACTTTTTTTTCACAGTGGATGTTTTGCATGTTTATCATTAACAACACTGCACTAGCCAAGGACTCGAACCCATGTTGTACTGGCCTGTCTCATGGTGAGCTAGAACCGCATGAACGTCTTAACCCACAGGACCACAGTAGGATTGGCTGGTCCTGTGGATTAAGGCTTCATATGGTTCCAGCTCACCATGAGGCGGGCCAGTGCAACATAGGTTCGAGTCCTTGGGTATTACAGTGTTGCTATTGATGCACACACACACACACACACACACACACACACACACACACACACACACACACACACATATATATATATATATATATATATATATATATATATATATATATATATATATATACTTATTTATTTATTCATTTATTTGAAAATTATAATGAAAATGATCGATACACAAGGGAACGCTTATGCAGAATGTATATATAATAACACAGGAAGGTTAAATATTAAATAAATTAGTTTTTTGAGTTAATTACTGGTTGTCAAAGGCAGTTGTAGATAGTGCGTGCCCGTATCTGGACACTTTTCTATATATGTGTGTGTTTGTGTGTGTGTGTGTGTGTCTGAGTAACCCTCGCAATCGTAGGGAAGACTGTTAATGTTGATATTTTTATGCAAACGTGTAAAATTTAAAAAAACATCGGCTGTTTTTTTTAGCCGATACTGATGCCATAAAAATGGCCAACACAGATACTGTCAGACAGTCAGATACTGTGCCATACTCCTAGTAACAATCATGTCCTCGCTTGTCCTTATCTCCTATAAGGTCGTCAGATTCAGGTCTTTCAACGTTTCCCTCATAGTGGATTCTTCTTACTTGTGGTACCGCATTACGTGGTTGCAAACCTTTGAACCTTTCAGAGTTTCTTAACGTTCTTTGATTAAGTGTGGGCTCCATGATGGGGCCGCGTACTCAATGACTGACATATGCCATAAATAAATTCTGAAAAAGCCTTTATTCAAATTCCTGTATGTAATATATTCTTGCATATGGCTAAGATGATATAAGACTAATGAGCACTTCTGGATATGCTTGGTGTTATATTCACCCCCAGGCCCTTTTCGCACTTCAATACTGTCCTCCAATACTGTTCTCCGCTCAATGAAACATAGGATGCGACCCGTTCTGGCAAAACATTTAAGTATATTAGCAACAGTAGCCGTTCTAGCACTGATATCTATGGAGCCTCAGTCGGTTATCTCTCCCATTCTGATGTCTCATCCCTTAATCCTATTCTGATTCTTTCATAAGGTGTGTATTTGCTTGTGGTGTGTGTGTGTGTGTGTGTGTGTGTGTGTGTGTGTGTGTGTGTGTGTGTGTGTATGTGTATGTGTATGTGTATGTGTGTGTGTGTGTGTGTGTGTGTATGCGTGTGTGTGTGTGTGTGTGTGTGTGTGTGTGTATGCGTGTGTGTGTGTGTGTGTGTGGTGTGTGTGTGTGTGTGTGTGTGTGTGTGTGTGTGTGTGTGTGTGTGTGTGTGTGTGTGTGTGTATACTCACCTAGTTGAGGTTGCGGGGGTCGAGTCCGAGCTCCTGGCCCCGCCTCTTCACTGATCGCTACTAGGTCACTCTCCCTGAGCCGTGAGCTTTATCATACCTCTGCTTAAAGCTATGTATGGATCCTGCCTCCACTACATCGCTTCCCAAACTATTCCACTTACTGACTACTCTGTGGCTGAAGAAATACTTCCTAACATCCCTGTGATTCATCTGTGTCTTCAGCTTCCAACTGTGTCCCCTTGTTACTGTGTCCAATCTCTGGAACATCCTGTCTTTGTCCACCTTGTCAATTCCTCTCAGTATTTTGTATGTCGTTATCATGTCCCCCCTATCTCTCCTGTCCTCCAGTGTCGTCAGGTTGATTTCCCTTAACCTCTCCTCGTAGGACATACCTCTTAGCTCTGGGACTAGTCTTGTTGCAAACCTTTGCACTTTCTCTAGTTTCTTCACGTGCTTGGCTAGGTGTGGGTTCCAAACTGGTGCCGCATACTCCAATATGGGCCTAACGTACACGGTGTACAGGGTCCTGAATGATTCCTTATTAAGATGTCGGAATGCTGTGTGTGTGTGTGTGTGTGTGTGTGTGTGTGTGTGTGTGTGTGTGTGTGTGTGTGTGTGTGTGTGTGTGTGTGTGTGTAAAGCTCTAATGAATGAATTAAGAACACAAAATTTTGCAATTCTAAACACATAATCACAATTCAACATGTGATTCCACAGTTAACTGCAGAATTACCGAATTGTGTTTGTTGTACGAGGGAGGTCAGTGTAAACCCAACTGTGCACCATATGAGACATGGCAAATTTCATCAGAGTCTGATACCAGTAATTTTCGGCATTCGTAATCCTGGAAATATTTGCAAGTGTTGCGCCAAGCCATGCTGGCCACTGGAGTCGTGCAGACGTCAAGTGGTTTTGTGTTCAAGACAGGAAGGACTATTAATGACATGCTAAACGTGGGAGACTGTCAAGGTTATGGATGCATGTGTTGCAGCCCGAGACGTAAATCGATCAGACTTCCAAATAATTTTTAATATCAAGAAATATTTGTAGTTACCTAGCATGAATATATTATAATTAACATAAATAAAAAAATCCTGAAATTTTAGATGCCTCTGTTTACATAATTTGTGTGCACTGTGAAAATTCTTTTAATCATTAGTGCAAGTACAGTATAATTCCTGATGGTTTAAATGCATATATTTCTATTTTTGCACTGTATGTTGTGAAAATTCTAACTATTTATGTAAATCTTAAAAATACTATTTTGGAGCTATTTTTCTCTTATAATTTTATTTGTATGTGTGTGTGTGAAAGGGAGGAAGGATTGAAGAGTCATGTTTAATAAATAAAATATAATAAATGTATTATACATTTATCACAGAAATCATAAATCAACACATAAATACTCTCTTTTCTTATGGGAAGAGTGCCTGTCCCATAAGGGTCACAAAGCTCCTACGGAATGGAAGGTAGTTAACCATGATACACTTCAACAAATGAATCTTTTGCAGCTAAATGTGTAACTTCCTATTCGTGTTCCGTGTACGAGGGAGGTCGGTGTAAAATTAACTGTGAACCGCATGAACGTGTGACCTCCGGCAGTTGCTATCTGGGACCTAATTGCAAGTGCTGCGCCAAGCCATGCAAGGCAACGAAGTCGTGTACTGACCTGAACGGCTTTTGTGTTCAAGATAGGAAGGAATGTTTTACTGGAACCATCAACATCTCAGGATGTCAAGGCTACGGATGCTTCTGTTGCGTCCCAAAATGTAAGTTAATCAAATTTCCCAAGAATTCCTAATTACATGTATTTGTTTCATGAAATTATTGCAATTACAATATATGAATATACGCTAATATTTAGATAAAAAGTTTACCTTTAGTCATAAATTTATGTTTGTCAGTGTCGATCCGCCTTCATTTTATTAGGCGTTGTGATATTTCATATAACTAATAGTTTATATCCAGAATCTAGATCTAGCAATATAAGTATAAATGTTTTCTACATTTTCATAACAATCCCACGGTGCATGTGTATTTTTACAGTTACAATTTACAGTTCATTACACGATACAACAGTAGGCCAGTGCACCGATAAGAACCTTCACATAAACACAGTATTTCAGTACTTTGGTCAAAGTATCACCATTTTTACATAAACTCTATTTTTTCACAGTAGTTCATCCATGCAAACAAACAAAGAAGTGTACTGCCGCCCATGGATTCTGTTGTCAAGATAAGAGGGATTGTGGTACTGGCATAATGCACAAAGAAGGCTGTGAAGGCCAAGATTGCTTCTGTTGCATACATGTAAGCTAATTAAATTCTTAAATAATACTTTAATATTTTTCAGGAGATATTATACAATTAATATATTTAAGTAGTTCAATAAAAATGATATACACATAATCTTTAAACCTTTTTAGCAAAATATAAACACCATGGCAAAATTTCACGTCTCGTGAAACTTGAATAGCAGAAAATTTAATGAGGTTATAAATATAATGAAATTTTATTTTACATTTTTAATATTTTCTTCACAAATATGGAACCTCCACTGGAACTAATTTACACACACACACATAATGTATATATATATATATATAATATATATATATATATATTATATATATATATATATATATATATATATATATATATATATATAATATGTGTGTGTGTGTGTGTGTGTGCGTTTTGTACTCACCTAATTGTACTCACCTAATTGTGGTTGCAGGGGTCGAGACTCAGCTCCTGGCCCCGCCTCTTCACTGATCGCTACTGGGTCCTCTCTCTCTCTCTGCTTCCTGAGCTTTGTCATACCTCTTCTTAAAACTATGTATGGTTCCTGCCTCCACTACTTCACTTGCTAGGCTATTCCACTTGCTGACAACTCTATGACTGAAGAAATACTTCCTAACGTCCCTGTGACTCGTCTGAGTCTTCAGCTTCCAGTTGTGACCCCTTGTCCCTGTGTCCCCTCTCTGGAACATCCTATCTCTGTCCACCTTGTCTATTCCCCGCAGTATCTTGTATGTCGTTATCATGTCTCCCCTGACCCTTCTGTCCTCCAGTGTCGTCAGTCCGATTTCCCTTAACCTTTCCTCGTACGACATTCCCTTGAGCTCTGGGACTAGCCTTGTTGCAAACCTTTGTACTTTCTCTAACTTCTAGACGTGCTTGACCAGGTGTGGGTTCCAGACTGATGCTGCATACTCCAGTATGGGCCTAACATACACAGTGTACAGTGTCTTGAACGATTCCTTATTAAGGTATCGGAACACTATTCTCAGGTTTGCCAGGCGCCCGTATGCTGCAGCAATTTGGTTGATGTGTGCCTCCGGTGATGTGCTCGGTGTTATGGTAACCCCAAGGTCTTTCTCCCTGAGTGAGGTCTGTAGTCTTTGTCCACCAAACCTATACTCTGTCTGCGGTCTTCTTTGCCCCTCCCCAATCTTCATGACTTTGCATTTGTCTGGATTGAATTCGAGAAGCCAGTTACTGGACCACATGTCCAGCCTGTCCAGGTCTCTTTGCAGTCCTGCCTCATCCTCGTCCGATTTAATTCTTCTCATCAACTTCACATCATCTGCGAACAGGGACACTTCAGAGTCTATTCCTTCCACCATGTCGTTCACATATATCAAAAATAGCACTGGTCCTAGAACTGACCCCTGTGGGACCCCGCTCGTAACAGGCGCCCACTGTGATACCTCTTCATGTACCATGACTCGTTGCTGCCTCCCTGTCAGGTATTCCCTTATCCATTGCAGTGGCCTCCCTTTTACATGCGCCTGATCCTCCAGCTTCTGCACTAATCTCTTGTGGGGAACTGTGTCAAAGGCCTTCTTGTAGTCTAGGAAAACGCAATCTACCCACCCCTCTCTCTCGTGTCTTACTTCCGTTACCTTGTCATAAAACTCCAGGAGGTTTGTGATACAGGATTTGCCTTCCATGAACCCATGCTGGTTTTCATTTATAATCTTGTTCCTTTCCAGGTGTTCGACCACTCTCCTCCTGATAATCTTCTCCATGACTTTGCACACAATACATGTCAGAGACACAGGTCTGTAGTTTAGTGTCTCGTTTCTGTTTCCTTTCTTAAATATGGGGACTACATTAGCTGTCTTCCATTTCTCAGGTAGTTGCCCAGTTTCAAGGGATGTGTTGAAGATTGTGGTTAGAGGCACGCACAGCATCTCTGCTCCTTCTCTAAGGACCCATGGGGAGATGTTGTCCGGTCCCATCGCCTTTGAGGTGTCAAGGTCACTTAAAAGCTTCTTCACCTCCTCCTCAGTTGTTCGTATGTCATCCAACACTTGTTGGTATATTACCTCTTGATGTTCCCTTCTGTGCTGTCTTCCCACAGCCCTTCCTGTCTCTACTGTAAAAACTTCCTTAAATCTCCTGTTGAGCTCCTCACATACCTCCTGATCATTTCTTGTGAGTTCTCCACCTTCTGTCCTTAATCTGATCACCTGGTCTTTGACTGTTGTCTTCCTCCTGATGTGGCTATACAACAGTTTCGGGTCAGTCTTGATTCTCGATGCTATGTCATTTTCATACTGTGTGTGTGTGTGTGTGTGTGTGTGTGTGTGTGTGTGTACTCACCTATTTGTACTCACTTATTTGTGGTTGCAGGGGTCGATTCACAGCTCCTGGCCCCGCCTCTTCGCTGATTGCTACTAGGTCCTCTCTCTCCCTGCCCCATGAGCTCTATCATACCTCGCCTTAAAACTATGTATGGTTCCTGCCTCCACCACATCACTTTCTAGGCTATTCCATGGCCTGACTACTCTATGACTGAAGAAATACTTCCTAACATCCCTTTGATTCATCTGAGTCTTCAACTTCCAATTGTGACCTCTTGTGTCTGTGTCCCATCTCTGGAACATCCCGTCTTTGTCCACCTCGTCTATTCCGCACAGTATTTTATATGTCGTTATCATGTCTCCCCTGACCCTCCTGGCCTCCAGTGTCGTCAGGCCGATTTCCCTCAACCTTTCTTCACAGGACAATCCCCATAGCTCTGGGACTAGTCTTGTTGCAAACCTTTGCACTTTCTCTAATTTCTTGACGTGCTTGACTAGGTGTGGATTCCAAACTGGTGCTGCATACTCCAGTATGGGCCTGACGTAGATGGTATACAGAGTCTTAAACGAATCCTTACTGAGGTATCGGAACGCTATCCGTAGGTTTGCCAGGCGCCCGTATGCTGCAGCAGTTATCTGATTGATGTGCGCCTCAGGAGATATGCTCGGTGTTATACTCACCCCCAGATCTTTTTTCCTTGAGTGAGGTTTGCAGTCTTTGGCCATCTAAACTATATTGTGTCTGCGGTCTTCTTTGCCCTTCCCCAATCTTCATGACTTTGCATTTGGCAGGGTTAAATTCAAGGAGCCAGTTGCTGGACCAGGCTTGTAGCCTGTCCAGGTCTCTTTGTAGTCCTGCCTGATCCTCATCCGATTTGATTCTTCTCATTAACTTCACATCATCTGCAAACAAGGACACTTCTGAGTCTATCCTTTCCGTTATGTCGTTCACGTATACCAAGAACAGCACAGGTCCTAGGACTAACCCCTGTGGAACCCCGCTTGTCACAGGCGCCCACTCTGACACCTCGTCGCGTACCATGACTCGTTGTTGCCTCCCTGTCAGATATTCTCTGATCCATTGCAGTGCCTTTCCTGTTATGTGTGCCTGGTCCTCTAGCTTTTGCAGTAACCTCTTGTGAGGAACTGTGTCGAAGGCCTTCTTGCAGTCCAAAAATACGCAGTCGATCCACCCCTCTCTCTCTTGTCTTACTTCTGTCACCTTGTCATAAAACTCTAGTAGGTTTGTGACACAGGATTTTCCTTCCCTGAAACCGTGCTGGTTGTCAATTATACACTTGTTTCTTTCCAGGTGCCCCACCATTTCCCTCCTGATGATCTTCTCCATGACCTTGCATACTATACACGTTAGTGATACAGATCTGTAGTTTAGTGCCTCATGTCTGTCTCCCTTTTTTAAAAATTGGGACTACATTTGCCATTTTCCATACCTCAGGGGGTTGCCCAGTTTCAAATGATGTGTTGAAGATCTTTGGTAATGGCTCACACAATATCTCTGCTCCCTCTTTAAGGAACCATGGAGAGATGTTGTCTGGTCCCACCGCCTTTAAGGTGTCAAGTTCGCATAGCAGCTTCTTCACCTCCTCCTTGGTTATATGTACCTCATCCAGCACTTGCTGGTATGCCCCCCTTTTCTGATTTCTTGGAGTCCTACTGGTTTCCACTGTAAATACCTCTTTAAATCTTGTGTTGAGCTCCTGACATACCTCTCGATCGTTTCTTGTGAATTCCCCATCACCCTTCCTCAGTCTGATTACCTGGTCCTTGACTGTTGTTTTCCTCCTGATGTGGCTGTACAACAGTTTCGGGTCAGTCTTTACTTTTGATGCTATGTCATTTTTTATATTGTCTCTGAGCCTCCCTTCTTATCTGTGCATATTCGTTTCTGGCTCTTCGGCTGATTTCTTTAATTTCCTGATTTTCTCTGTCTTCTGTACCTTTTCCATTCTCTAGTACACCTAGTTTTTTGCCTCCCTACACCTTTGGGTGAACCAAGGACTCGTTCTGTTCTTTCAATTATTTCTGTTTCCCTTGGAACAAACCTCTCCTCTGCCTCCTTGCATTTTGTTGCTACATAATCCATCATTTCTTGTACTGGTTTTCCTGTCAGTTCCCTCTCCCACTGAATGTCTTGAAGGAAGTTCCTCATGCCTGAGTAGTTCCCCCTTTTGTAGTTTGGTTTTCCCAGCCTATTCCTGCTACTCTCTCCACTTGGAACTCAACTATGTAGTCGAAGCACAGAACCACATGATCACTAGCTCCCAGGGACCTTTCATACATGATACCCTCGATGTCCGAACTACTCATGGTGAATACAAGGTCCAACCTTGCTGGTTCATCCTCTCCTCTCTCTCTGGTAGTGTCTCTAACATGTTGATGCATGAGGTTCTCCAGTACCACATCCATCATCTTGGCTCTCCATGTTTCGGGACCCCCATGGGGCTCCACGTTTTCACAGTCAATCTCCTTGTGATTGAAATCACCCATAACTAGTAACTTTGCTCCCCCCATGTGTGCTCTCCTGGCCACCTCGGCTAGTGTGTCGATCATTGCTCTGTTGCTCTCATCGTATTCTTCTCTTGGCCTCCTGCAGTTCTGTGGTGGGTTGTACATTACTGCAATTATCACCTTATGTCCCTCAGACTGGATTGTTCCTACTAAGTAGTCCCTTTCGCCCATGCCATCCATTCCTTCCAT